TTCCTGAAGGTGTGGAGAGAGAAAGGATTAGAAGGCCTTTTTAATGTGATACTAGCAGAAAATTCCCCAGGTTTGCAGAAGGAAAGAGAAATCCAAGTACAGGAAGCACATAGACATCCCAATAAACAGACCAAAAGAGAGCTTCATCATAACACGTTGTTATCAAGTTCACCACAGTGAAACATAAAGAAAAGTTTCTAAAATGGGCAAGAGAGAAACATCAGATTACTCTTAGAAGATCTCAAATTAGACTAACAGCAGACTTCTCAGCAGACCCTACAGGCTAGGAGGGAATGCCATGATATAGCCCAAGTACTAAGAGAAAAAAATGCCACTACACAGTATTATATCCTGCAAAGCTCTCATTTGTTAATGAAGGTGAAATAAAGACCTTTCATAGCAAAAAAAAAAAAAAAATTGAAAGAATTTGTCACCATTCATCCAGCCCTGCAAAAGATGCCTAAAGATTTGTTACACACAGAAACATAGATACATGGCCAGTGATACAAAAAAGGTAAAGGAAGAAAATCGATCAGTAAAAGATCACAGGAAGCTCAAAGAATTTATTAGAAATATCTTTGGAAAAAATGACAGGGCAAAGTCACTACTTATCAATAGTCACATTGAATGTAAATGGCCTCAACTCTCCAATTAAAAGACATAGACTGGCTGGCTGGATTAAAAAACAAAACCCATGAATTTTCTGCTTGCAAAAAGCACATCTTTCCAACAAAGGAGCATACAGACTAAAAGTGAAAGGTTGGAAAAAGTGTTTCTATGCCAACAGAAACCAAAAAAAGAGCTGGCATAGCCATCTTAATATCACACAAAATAAACTTTAACAAAAAATCTGTTAAGAGAGACAAAGAGGGGCAGTATATAATGCTTAAGTGTTCAATTCAACACTAATTGGAAGATGTAACTATTATAAAAGTACATGTACCTAATCACAGGACACTAGGTTATTTAACAGATATGTTTAGGAACTTAAAAAGAAGACTTACACTCCAATACAGTAGTATAGGGGGACTTCAATACTCCATTCTCAGAAATAGACAGATCGATCAGATAGAAGATCAACAAGGAAACAGCAGATTTAATAAAAACTATAGACCAACTGAATCCAACATATATCTACATAACTTTTCATCCTATACTTAAAGAATACACATTCTTCTCAGCTGTACAAGGAACCTACTCTAGGATTGACCACATATTAGGCCATAAAGCAAGTCTCAGAAAATTAAAAAGAATCGAAATCAAACCATGTATCTTTTCAGACCACAAAGGAATGAAGCTGGAAATTAGCAACTCAGGAATCCCTAGATCACATGCAAACACATGGAGACTGAACAACATGCTCTGAAATGAACAGTGAGTCATAGAAGAAGCAAAACAGAAATCAACAACTTTATGGAAGTTAATGAGGATAACAACACAACATATAAAAATTACAGGATAAAGCAAAATGAGTGTTAAGAAGAAAGTTTATAGCAATAGGTGCCTACATCAAGAAATTGGAAAGGGACCAAATAATGAGAGCCAATGCATCTCAAGGATCTAGAAAAACTAGAGAAACCAGATGCAAAACTATTAGGAGAAGAGAAATAATTAAAATTAGAAAAGAAATCAACAGAATTGAATCAAAAAAATACAAAAGATCAGCAAAATGAATGGATGGATTTTTGAATAAAAACTCAATTGCCACACAATTGGACCAACTAACTAAAAAAAGAAGAGGAAGGACCCAAATCGATAAAATCAGAGATGAAAAAGGAAATGTAACAACAGACACCACAGAAATAAAAGTCATCAGAAATTATTAGAAAGAGTTGTATACCAGTAAACAGGGAAATCTATCAGAAATGGATAGATTCCTGGACACATACCACCTGCATAAATTGAACCATGAAGACATAGAAAATCTAAACAGACCCATAACTGAGACAGAAATTAAATAAGCAATAAAGTCCCTCCTAACAAAGAAAAGCCCAGGGCCAGATGGATTCACTGCTAAATTCTACCAGACATTTAAAGAACTAACACCAATTCTTCTCAAACTATTCAGAACAATCAAAAAAGAGGAATCCTCCCAAATCCTTCCTATGAAGCCAGCATCACCTTAATTCCTAAACTTGAAAAAGATGCAGCAGAGAAAGAGAATTACAGACCAATATCTCTGATGAACATAGACATAAAAATCCTCAATAAAATCTGGCCAATAGAATGCAACAACACATCAGAAAGATCATCCACCCAGACCAAGTAGGATTTATCTCTGGTATGCAGGGATGATGGTTCAATGTTTGCAGATAAATCAATGTGATACACCACAGTAGCAAACTGCAAAAACAACATATGATTATCTCAACAGATGCAGAGAAAGCATTCGATAAAATACAACACCCTTTCATGAAGAAAACTGTAAGCAGATTGGGTATAGAAGGAACATTCCTCAGTACAATCAAATCAATTTATGAAAACTCACGGCCAGCATCCTATTGAATGGGGAAAAGTTGGAAGCATTTCCACTGAGATCTGGTACCAGATAGGGATGCCCACTTTCACCACTGCATTTCAATATAGTTCTGGAAGTTTTAGCCAGAATAATTAGGCAAGAAAAAGAAAATTTTTAACTTTTATTTAATGAATATAAATTTCCAAAGTACAGCTTATGGATTACAATGGCTTCCCCCCCATAACTTCCCTCCCACCCGCAACCCTCCCCTTTGCTTCTCCCCCCCCTTCCATTCACATCAAGATTCATTTTCAATTCTCTTTATATACAGAAGATCAGTTTAGCATATATGAAGTAAAGATTTCAACAGTTTGCACCCACATAGAAACACAAAGTGAAAAAGACTGTTTGAGTACTAGTTACAGCATTAAATCACAATCTACAGCACATTAAGGACAGAGATCCTACATGAGGAGTAAGTGCACAGTGACTCCTGTTGTTGACTTAACAAATTGGCATTCTTTTTTGTGGCATCAGTAATCACCCTAGGCTCTTGTCATGAGTCACCAAGGCTATTGAAGCCTTTTGAGTTCACCAACTCTGATCATATTTAGACAAGGTCATAGTCAAAGTGGACGTTCTCTCCTCCCTTCAGAGAAAGGTACCTTCAAGAAAAAGAAATTAAAGGGATACAAATTGGGAAGAAAGAAGTCAAACTATCCCTCTTTGCAGACGATACGATTCTTTACTTAGAGGATCCAAAGAACTCTACTAAGAGACTATTGGAACTCATAGAAGAGTTTGGCAAAGTAGCAGGATATAAAATCAATGCCCAAAAATCAACAGCCTTTGTATACACAGGCAATGACATGGCTGAGAAAGAACTGTTAATATCAATCCCATTCACAATAGCCACAAAAACAATCAAACACCTTGGAATAAACTTAACCAAGGATGTTAAAGAACTCTATGATGAGAATTCCAAAATCTTAAAGAAAGAAATAGAAGATGATACCAAAAAATGGAGAAATCTTTCATGCTCATGGATCGGAAAAATCAGTATCATCAACATGTCCATTCTCCCAACAGCAATTTATAGATTCAATGCCATACCAATCGAAATACCAAAGACATTCTTCACAGATCTGTAAAAAATGATGCTGAAATTCATATGGAGACACAGGATATCTCAAATAGCTAAAGCAATCTTGTACAACAAAACACAGCCATAGGCTTCACAATACCACATTTCAAGACATACTACAGGGCTGTTATATTCAAAACAGCATGGTACTGGTACAGAAACAGATGGGTAGACCAATGGAACAGAATAGAAACACCAGAAATCAATCTAAACATCATCAGCCAACCTGTATTTGATCAAGGATCTAAAACCAATGCCTGGAGCAAGGATAGTCTATTCAACAAATGGTGCTGGGAAAACTGGATTTCCACGTGCAGAAGCATGAAGCAAGACCCCTATCTTACACCTTACACGAAGATCCACTCAACATGTATTAAAGATCTAAATCTATGACCCAACACCATCAAATAATTGGAGAACATTGGAGAAACCCTGTAAGATATAGGCACAGGCAAAGAATTCTTGGAAAAGAGCCCAGAGTCACAGGCATTCAAAGCGAAAATTAACAATTGGGATTACATCAAATAGAAACTTCTTATGTCTGGCACTGGCAAAAGAAAATCAAAGCAAAATTTATAATAAACAAAATGAACAGATGGAAAAGTTTGCAGAATCACTTCTACATATAATGAAATCTTGGTGTGTATCACATCATTTGAAATTCATATGAAATGATATATAATTAAGGAGTTTCTGGACAATGAATTATACATATTATAATGACAACATGTCTAATGATTGCACTGAAATATTCCAACTATATTACTAAGCTGATTTTAGTATAGACTCCAATGAATGATTAAAAGTAGCAACCAAATGTGTAATTCATTTTATCAAAATAGGAAGATAACAAGGTCAATGAGTTGACAATGAAAATACAGGATTGAAAAGAAATGAGATGGGTTTGTGCTTATGAACATAAAACCCAGGCTAAGAAATTAGTACACAGTATTATTTTGAAGGAGGAGGATTAGGACCACCATGAGGGTGTAGTGGATATAACCACCACCTGTAAACCTAACATCCCATGTTGGTGCGAGTTCATGGCCTGTCTGCTCCACTTGCAACTCAGCTCCTTGTTAAGATCTAGAAAAGTCTCTGGAAGATGGCCTAAGCCTTTCCGTCCCTGGTACTCACATGGACACCTGAATTAACCTCCTTGCTTTGGCATGAACCAGCACTGGCCCACTACAGATATCTTCAGATTCCATCACAAGATGGAAGGTTTCTCCCACACTCTCCTCATTTTCTGGAACTTGGTCCTTCAGAACAAAAACATTTTAAAGAAAAGTATAAATTGTACCTAAGGTGGTTACATGATGCAAGTTATTTTATAATATCACAATGCAAAATTTTGTTTTATAAATTTTAGTTTCTAACCATTGAAACTGAGAGAGCCTAAGAGCTACTCCTGAGAACATCTGTTTCCTTGGAAATTATTCTATCCCTTAATACTTTCAAAGCTTTCTGCTCAGGTCTGAAGAGAATAATGTAGCACTTGGGAACAAAGATGCAGCCCAGGAGCCCTGCACTGGAGGCCAAGATGGAGAAGACCTCCACAGCCACCATGACCTTCCCCTTGGTGCTGTGGTAGACAGGCAGGAAGGTCACCCACACACTGCAAAACACCAGCATGCTGAATGTCAGGAACTTGGCTTCATTGAAGGTGTCAGGCAGATTCCTGGCTAGGAAAGCCACAGTAAAGCTGGCCAGGGCCAAGGAACCCAGGTAGCCCAGGACACAGTAGAAGGCAGTGACCAAACCCTTGTTGCACACCAGGATGATGTGGCCATGCTCTGAGTGTGCATCTGTGTCAATAAAGGGAGGAGAAGTCCCAAGCCAGAAGCCACAGAGAGCCAGTTGGATCAGGCAGCAGATGGGAATAATGGAGTTAGGTAACCCTGATATCAGCCAGTGTCTCATTCTTCTCCCTGGGCCAGTGACCCTGAAGGCCAGAAGCACAGTGATAGTTTTGGCCAGGACAGTGGAAATAGCCACAGTGAATACCACTCCAAATGTGGTCTGCTGGAGGACACAGGTGGTTTTGTTGGGACGACCAATGAACACTAAGGAGCAGAGGAAGCAGAAGATGAGGGTGATGAGCAGGACGTAGCTGAGACAACGATTGTTGGCCTTGACTATGGGAGTGTCTCGGTGCTTCACAAAGACCCCAAGGACAACAACGGTGAGGACAGAGAAGCACAGAGCTGTGCAGACCAGGGTCATCCCCAGGGCATCTTCAAACGACAGAAAGGTCACTCTTTTGTGGAAGCACTGGTTTCGCTCTGTGTTGGCATACTGAAGATCTGGACACTTCACACACTGGTCCATATCTAGTGAGAAACATACAATAACATCATCCCAATTTCCTGATTCACAAGGACCCGACTTAGCCAGTTTAAGCAAGTAGTCCTTATTTGGTGTTGAAATAGCATATAAGATGACATCTACAAATTATTGGCCATTATTCATGCCCATCTTCCTCATGTTAGCCAGAGTTATTACTCCATCTCCCTAAGTACCTTACATACTCATGAGTACATGCTCTTTTTGTCCTAACAAAGTACTAAGGGCTACTCTCTGAACCTACTCATGGTACTTTAAAAACCTACCTTTTTGACCTGTTTCATTTTTTTTTTTTTTTTATAGGCAGAGTGGACAGTGAGAGAGAGAGACAGAGAGAGAAAGGTCTTCCTTTTGCCGCTGGTTCACCCTCCAATGGCCGCCGCTGCAGCCGGCGCACCGCGCTGATCCTGGCAGGAGCCAGGATCCAGGTGCTTTTCCTGGTCTCCCATGGGGTGCAGGGCCCAAGCACCTGGGCCATCCTCCACTGCACTCCCTGGCCATAGCAGAGAGCTGGCCTGGAAGAGGGGCAACCGGGACAGAATCCGGCGCCCCGACCGGGACTAGAACCCGGTGTGCCGGCGCCGCAAGGTGGAGGATTAGCCTATTGAGCCACGGCGCCGGCTGACCTGTTTCATTTTAACACCACAAATTCATTCTTCACAGTTTCTTCAGATTGGGAAGTGATGATCAAGATGCCAGGGGTTTCTATGTGTGGTAAAGACTACTCTGACCTTTATACATTGCACATGCTTGCTGCATCCTCACTTTGAACAAGAGCAAGCAGCAGTCCTTGTTTTCTTAATGAATACATTCTTTCATAATTCAACTTTTTTTAACTAATGCTTTTTTCATAGATAGAACTTTGGGAATATAGGGGTTCCTTCCCCTAAAACCACCTTCCCATCCCAACTCTCATCCCACCTCCCTCCCCCTCTCCCATCTCCTTCTTTATTATGGTTCATTTTTAGTTTGATTTTAAATATAGAAGACCAACTCCATATTAAGCATAGATTTGAACAGTTTGCATCCATGAAGACAAACTACATATAGAATAGAGTTTGGGGAAAAATTGCAGTCAATTCTCAAAGCACAACTCATTATGGATGGAGTTCCTACATGGGGAATAAATGCACGGTGACTCTGTTATTCCTTTAACAATTAACACTCTTATGTATGACATCAGTGATCAGCCGAGGCTCTTGACATGGGCTGCCATCAGTATTTAGACATTGCCATAAGCAGTTGGATGTTCTCTCCTCCCTTCTGAGAAGAGTATATTCTTCTTTGATGACCATTTCTTTCCATTGAGGTCTCACGGAGATCCTCCATGGAGGCTATTTTTTGCCAGAGTCTTGGCTTTTTATGCCTGCAGTAAGCCCTTGTTTTAATGGTGTTATTCCCTCTGGATTCTCATGGCCCTCTTAATGACCAAAGGATCCCAGTTTTATTTCTAAGGAGTGTTTATTTATTTATTTATTATAATTTAATGAAAGGCAGAGTTTTGGAAGGAGGAGGAAAAGTAGGAGAGAGGGAGAGTGAGAGGGAGAGAGAGAAGGACAGGAGGACAGGGAAAAAGAGAAGGGGAAAGAGAAAGAGGGAAAAAGAGAAAGGAAGAAATCTTCCACCAGTGATTCACACCCCAAATGATGGTAATAGCTGGAACTAGGCTGTCTTAAGGCAATAAATGGGAGCTTCTTCTGGGTCTCCTACATGGTGTGGACTCAGAAACTTGGGCTGTCTTCTGCTGCTTTCCTAAGCATCAGCAGAGAGCTGCATTGGAAGTGAAGCAGCTGAGACTGGAACTGCAGCCCAACTGGGATGCTGGCATTCCAGCCAGAGGCTTCAACTCCTAGTCACAGTACTGGCCCAGGTTCCCACTCTTAATTTCATGCACTGGGATATTTACTGTGTGAATTTGGGGTGCACAGAAAGTACCCTGTTATCTCACTAAACCACATCTCTCTAAGGTAGGATCTGGATAGCCATTCTATGGGCAAGTACTGATTGAGAGATCACCATTAGAAAGCAGATGGTCAAGTTCTAGAGAAACGCAGAAGAGTTGTACACTTGATACCTTCTGGATAAGATGCCACCCTTGAGCAAATTTCCATCAAGGAACACACTGGGATGCTGCCTGTAATCAAAGTCAGTCTGGAGATCACCTTGAACCCTACTGGCATAGTTCCACTTTGCTACCTTTTTATCCTTGAACATGAATTTTCTTTTTTTTTAATTTTTTTTAAACTTTTATTTAATGCATATAAATTTCCAAAGTACGACTCATGGGTTACAATGGCTTCCCCTCCATACCGTCCCTCCCACCCACAACCCTCCCCTTTCCCACTCCCTCTCCCCTTCCATTCACATCAAGATTCATCTTCGATTATCTTAATATACAGAAGATCAGCTTAGTATACATTAAGTATGGATTTCAACAGTTTGCTCCCACACAGAAACATAAAGTGAAAAATAATAGATGATTTTTTTTAAATGATGATGAAATCAGAGCAGACCTATTGTCATGTTTAATCCCAGTGAGAGTCAAGTTGGGAATTGATAATTTCTTTCTTTTTTTTTTTTTTTTTTTTTTTTACAGAGGATCAGTTTCTTTCTCTGTCAGTATCCCCTTCTATACATTGCTCCATCGATGTCAGATATTGCAACTTGAAGATGTCTTCCAAAATTTAGGTGGTCTTATCTTTGGATAGTTCCTACTTTTGAGATATTACATGTGCTCATTTTCAGAGCTTTGTTTTCCAGAATTGGTAAGCAAAAATAACTGTTTTTTTGTAATTAATCTAGTATTCCAGCACTACTTAACTCAGTTACTGATTTTTGATTGTATTACACCATCCCAAGATTAGTTGAAAATGATTCCACTTTTATATCTTCCTTTATAATAAGTTGCATGGCTTTCATTTCTATTATATGCACAAAGCAGACCATCCTGGTAATTTCCTGCATAAGTTGCACTCTTTCTTCAACTTTGTATCCAATCTTCAGCCATAACTTCCATGATTTTAGCATTCTAAAGCACACTTTAGGATTGAAAACTGATCCTTCTTTTTGGCATTTTTGAGTTGTCTTGTTCTTCTTGTATAATTCTCAGATCACTTAGATTTGTTAAATGTTTTTCTTCAGTCATGCTATTCTTCTTCTTATTATTGTATGCAAGCCATTGGGCATGATGTAAACTATTTAAAAATACTGTTGGATTTATGTTGTTTAAAATTTCAAATCTGTGTATTTATTTCAACAACAGTGTCTTACAATTTCATTTTACTGAAATATCTGGCAGTATTTGACCAAACAAGTTAAGATGTTTCTGTAGAAGAAACAGAATTTTTCCATTTTTCCTATTCTGTACAGGAGTTGAGAAAGAGTTCCTTTCCTATGTGAAAGTGTTTATCACAATAAAAGTATTAAGCATTATTTTAATAATCTTCAAGATACTTGAATTTTTTAAAAATTTCTCAATGTATTTCATCATTTTTATATCTGGAAATTTCTGAATTTCTTCTCTATTCAAACTATCACCATTAAATGATTAAAAAGTTCTAGTATTACTATTTTTATATCTGTGCAGAGATCTCTTCAGCTCTCTTTGTGTAACACACACAGACATTGTAATCTTGTTTTTAGTACTGTTCCAACTTTCTGAGGTTCATAAATTTTGCTTGTTTTATGAGCACCACCTATAAGCTCTTCCAATTTTTATTTACCTCAGTTTCCTTATAATGTCCACATCCTATCTTCAAGGGTTTGTGTTGAATTTGATGTCATTAACCTACCTTGCTATGCATTCTTTTTACCATGCATGTCAGCATGTATTATTTTGAAATAAATTTTACTCATGAGTGTATGTGTGTATGCATAGGAATGTTCCTGAAGATATATATTTTCATAAGCAATGATTTTTCTCAAAGGCTAAGCTTAGCTCATTTATGATATCTGATGAGTGTTATCCTTAGCATGATATACTATATAATTTCTAATACAGCTTTTCGTCTTACACACAGTTTGATGAGAGTTGTGCTTTCTCACTGCAAGCATGCTATATTTGAATTTGGTGAAAGCATTTTATCTAAACACACACAAGGAATGCAGACATGAATTTACCTAAATGATTTTGCAAATACTACATGTGGTAAAGTATAGTGTGCAAAATTTTATCCTTTTAGGGATTATTACTGAATATAAGGTTTAACTTCCACCAGAAGATGAAAAGAATCTTCTCAGCAGTCATAATCCACATCCTTTTCTTTTCATGGAGAAGAGGAAATTCTAAGAAACAGGTGTTAATTTCTCCATGAAGCTGGCACTGACTTACTTGTCTGATTGGAAATCTCATTCTCAGAACAAGGTGTGCAATCAAAACAACAGGTAGGCGTCCCCTCCAGAGGGGCTTTCCTGAATCCAGGGCTGCAACTCTCACTGCATACTGAACGTGGAGTCTGAGAAAAATCAAATGAATATTGGTCATATTGGGAATGTTACTTCTGTTCCAAGTAGAGGGTTTTCAAGTCCTGCATAACCTATTCACTGAAACTGTAAACACCTATTTCTGACACAATCATGACATGCAAGTTTATTTCCTAAATAAAAAGATTCAAAACATGTGGAGGAACAAGTGTGTGTACTGTCCATCCTCAGACACTAAAAACATAACAAAGTATTTAGATTGGGAGGGGTGTGGTTTAATGTCTCTAAGTAAGTTATAATAAGCCAAGTTGCACAAATCCCCATATTAATTGGAGGGTAACAATGTATAGTGTGAATCTTATGATCAGACCAACTTACCTCTGTAATTCCTGTGGCCCACTCTATCAAATTCTCAGAGAGAGACAACTGTTGGCTCTGTGGAACATACGGGGAAAACTGTCCTACTTTAACCTTATGTCCAACACCATATGGAAAATTCAGAAAGTTGAGAATGTCATATTCAGCTTCCAAATTCCTCATGTGATTCAAATTCACCAGGTCACCCGCAGGATTGGTAAGTTGGAGGTTCTTGAGAAACGGGTGCAACTGAAAAAATGCATCATATTCTCATGAAGACTGCCCAAGCAATAACACATCAAACCCAGGTTAGAGAAAGCCTTTTGTCTGTAATCACAAATAAACAAAGGGAACTTTTTATAGCCACTCAATGAATTAAAACTAAAAACCTGATGAGGACTACATCAAAATAAGTGTGATTTCACTCACGTTCATCCAAAAACAAGGGCAATCAAAAATATCTAACTGTAAAATTATGACAGTTTCAAAATGTGGTCCACGTTACCAACACTCACTTATTTTCCCAGTGTCCCTAGGACAACCATCTGTAATGCAGTTACCAGAATAAAATAGTATGCAATTTAATGAGATGTCTTATGTACATTGTGGATGAGCATACTCAGCAACATTTGACACTAAAAAGTAATAATTTTTTTACTGCTTAGATTGAAAATGGAATGACACAGTCTAGGTATTCACAAGTCATAATTAAATTGTCAGGATGGGAGAGTAATTTTTAAGACACAGCACTGATGCTTATCCAAGTTACCTTCCCACTTGAAAAGGGAACCCTGTTTCTAATCACAAATTACAAAAAAAGGCTCATTTATATCTTGTGATTGAAGGAAGGATCCCAAGTTATTGGTTTGAAAACCCGCAGAAGCTTTTAAGGGGATCATTCCAATAATACAAGTCATGCAAAGGAAACCAAATTACCTGCCAAGGAGAAAATTCCACCTTTTCCCCATTGCTCACTGGCTGCATTTCTAACTCTTGTAGAAGCATCTCATGTACACTGTGGGCCACAGCATACACAGCATTGTATATGTTGTAACTCCCATCACTCATGCTCATATCAAAATGATGAAAAGGCAAGGATTCCAAGGAGGCATTCAGTGGACAGTTTCTCAAGGTTTTGCAGGATGGCCCAGTAACTGAGCAATCAAAATATAGTGACCAGAATGTAGAGAGGTAAAAGTCTTCTGGGTATTTGGAAGGGTTAATTGTCTGAAGAAAGTTTTTGAAACCAGAGATCTCACTATGGTGGTGTGAAAAAATGAGAGTCCCATGGAATGAGTGGAGCAGAATATGATGCTCATCGCTGGCAAAATCCCATTGTGAGGTGGTGACCCAGACTTTCCATGTCATTACACGTTTCCATGTTGGAAAGCTGACACCTATGAGTGAATCAGTGTCACAGAAAAGAATCACCACATTTGCTGATGATTTTAGGATCTGGATATGAAACCTATTCTGGAGTGAAATACGTGACTCCTCAGTGACTGGGATGAATTCCACAAAGTCTACACAGATGCCATTCTTCTGCATCTCGACTTTCAAATCAGACATAAACTGAATACCTTTTGGGAGGTCTGAGATGGCCAAACCCACCCAGGTCCAGCTAAAATGAAGCATCAAGGAGACCATGCCACGGGCCAGAGAAGTGTCTTTGGGGGCCATCTGATAGATGGAAGGAAACTGAGCACTGTCACTCAGAAGAGGTTCAAAAGATCCAAGAGTCAGCTAAGGGAAAAGGCAAGAAATCTGTGTAAGGTTATTGCTATAGTGAATAATCTTATTCCTGAAGAAATTAAACAAATGATGGATGGATCAGAAGATTTTAGAATATTTCATTTTTCTCATCTCCCATTACATATAAACTTCCTTGTTCATGAGTCATTAGACTCACAGGTTGAGGAAAACATTTCTCATTATCACTCACCCACATCACTTTAGAACAAATGTGGCTACTTCACCAAATCTCTGCACACCTTCTACTTAGAATATGCACTGTGTGAAATATATAAAGTCTCTGTCACTTAAACTTTTGGGTCTAAGTAAGGCACCTAAGGTGATGTGATTTTTCCCTCTCCCTTACACACTCACCTGTGGAATTTTGTAGAGTTCCAGGAGTGTCCCCATTTGGACAGCAATGCTTGTTCCTGATATTATGGCTACAGACTTGCTCTGTTTCCTACACGTGTAATTGGGAACATGCTTTTCCATTCCCGCAAGCCAGATGAAGGGATTCTCCATCACCATCATGTCACTGTGCATGACATTATAGAGATCAAATCCCAATGTCATGTTGGGTAAAAGCTGGGTGTTCTTGTTGATCTCCTCAATAGCAAAAACCAAGGCCAGAACATATTGGTAGTTTTTGGATTGAAACCTGCATGAAAGGCACAAGGATCTTTAAGGGAAAAGCCTGCAATCCAGATTATCATCAATTCTTCTGTAATTACTCTGACAGATGGATTGGTCATGGTCAAAAATTCAAGTGTTCTAATCTTTATATGTGCATTTGCTTAGGACAGAGTGTCAAGAGCATCGTATTTGCAGGACAGTTGTCCTCACCAGAACCAAAGCTGCTAGTATCTTTATCCGGTCACCCAGCCTAAAAGATTCTATAAAATAAGATCTGCTTTTACACCATAATGTCACATCACAAATACTTCTTGAAATAAGAGTCATATGATCATAAGGCTGCAGGATGCAATGGGGAAAGAGAATAACTCAGCTGAAGGCTATGTGATCAGAAATTTGGATGACATCAAAGCATGGAGATGGTAGATGGAATCTTGGAGTTTATCGAGAAAAATCTCTTCCCCATCAAATGTACCGATCAAGGACCACCCCAAGCCAGAAAACTGAAATCAGATTCAGAGCTTGAAAGAAGGGAAACAGTGAAAAGCGAGGAGCACTTTGGAGAAGCTGGAAACACTCCCTGGGTGGACTGGAGTCGCTTTATATATATAAATAAATAAATAAATAAATATATTTATATAAAATATATTTTATTTATATAAAATGTATTTATTTATATAACAAATAAATATAAATAAATAATTATATATATTTATATATCAATATATATTATTTATATATAAATATTATTTATATATAGATATAAATGTTTTATATATGTATATTATGTATATATATATAAAACATTTATATTTAGCTCTAAAAATGTATCTTAAAGAGGGGTGGAAGCAGAATAATCCCCCTTCTGAAATGTATTTTTCCCAGAAAAGGAAAGAATCAGGGACACATCATGAGGGTTGTAGATTCCAAACATTAAATTTCTTATGTTCATCATTAAAATATAATTATTATATTTGTGCAAAGGTGTTGAGCCAAGATTGCTTTTAACTAGTGAAAACTTACTCTCTTGAATATCTTTTCTTCTTTACAATGTAGAAGAAATGAAGTGTTCTCATGGCCCCAAATCTAGTACATAGCAGAAAAGACTGTGTGCACATGTGGAAGAGCTCATGTAACTCAGTTCATTCATTACAGTGCATGGGTTCCGTAAGAATCTAATACTGAGGCACAACAGGCACCTGAGTAGATGAACATGGACAGGGAAGCACAGGAAGATCCCAACCTGACTCTCCTCCTTCCTACAATTAGAAAACCTTTCCTTGAACCGTGCATGAACACAAGAAAGAAAATGTCACCTCATGCTCCAAATTAATTATCAGCACTTTTTAGGAGAGACAGAGAATGCAAAGAGTAGGAAACCACATATGTCTATTGGGTCTGCAGACCCAATAACAAGTAGCTATTATGTAAATCAAGGGAAAATGATTATGGCAAATGGAACTTACCGGATGAATGTGAGATCTCTTTGGAAAATATTCATGATTCTGTTAACGAGGTGTATGTAAATGGGGAAAAAGGAAGCAATCTCAATGTCTCCATCCTTGTAAAAACTCCGTTCAATCTCGGAATAGCACTTGGGACCATCCTGACAAATCACAAGGAGATATAGCTGCAGAAAAAGCAACAGAAAAATCCAAGGAAACATTTTCAGAGTCTGAGAAAAACCCTAGGACACAACCACAGTGGAACGTGCAGGGTTATGCAGGTGCATACATATAGCATGTGTGTGTGTGTGTGTGTGTGTGTGTGATTCCTTGAATCAAGCCACTTTAATACTGCTCCATCTGACTTTTTCCACCAGCTGTCCATTTGTCTATGGGGGAATCGTAAACCCTTTCTGCCCTCAGGCTTTGCAGCTCAGGTCTTCTGCCAGGTGCAAAATACAGGAAAGAAAACATGTTTGTGATTCATCCTCTTCACCCCAGGTGCCAGGATTTCCTCCAAGTTCATGGATAAAAAGACTCAAGGGAGAAACTCCTCTCAGTTACATTTGGTCAATGGGCTTTGTCAATAAACCTCTCCATGAACTTTTGGCAATTATGTACCTGGATTACATCAGATGGCATGAAGGGCAGCATCAGGCAAGGTTCTCATAAAGGTTTCAGACCAGAAAACTCCTGTGTCACACACTTTAAAGATAAAGAGCCACAGGGCAGCCTCCCACACTGCATTTTTGGGCAGGCACATATGGTCTTGATGCCACATAGACCCCAAACAAATCATGTATAGAGATACCCACTAGGACATGTGGTTTTCAATCACTGTGGAACCAGTAATCACCCTGAATTCAGAAGTTCCGATTCTGTATGTCAAATCACCACATCTTCAGGTGTAAAACAAGAAACCCTTCCACTACTGTTAACCACTGTCATCTCATGTTGATCTGTTTTTGCACCTTCAACCTTGGTTGATGCTCTCATGAGAACTAGTAACTATTTGAGTACTCTTTGCTTTTTACCATAAGATAGACAACAGCAGCCAGAAGTCACCTCTTTATTCCCACCACCACAAACACCAAGGGCAGGGTGATGGCTGTAGACAACTGTACTGCTTGAATGCAAGTGACTTTCAGAACTATTATGATGGACAGGGCAGCTACATACCTTTAATCTTTTGCAAAACCCACATACTACACAACACGAGAGTGAACACAATGGATAGTATGTCCTGTAGGTAATAGTGATGATCAACACTGACTAATCATTTGTGCTTGCATATCAGTGTGATGTATTGCTAATGAAGTAAATCTAATAAGGATGGGACAAGAGGGCAATAAGAGAACTCTAGTATTCCACTCAGAAGTTTTCTAAACTCATACTGCTATAAATGAGATGCCTAGTATTTTAAGCAAAACACATTTTCCATTGGGTACTCACTGCTCTGATGCTACTAGTGAGGTTTTTAATAGAGGCTCATACAATTGAGATGAAGTATAGCCACAACACACACAGAATTCACTGACTTACATAAAAATGAAAGTTCATTGTATTGATGAGTTTGATTTATTACCAGTACAATGATGAAACTTGTAGTCTGTTCAGTTAACAAGAAAAGTAAATCTAAATCAGAGAGCAAATATCTCCTGTTCTCTCTAATGTGTAGAAACTAAAAGTAGAGTCAATCTGAATGCAAATGATTCACTAAAAAAGATTAGGAATGGAAAAGATGCACTCCATGCAATGAGAAGTCTTCAAAAATTCATGGAAAATGTATGTTATGAAACAATTGTGCAAATTTTTTTTTTAACTTTTATTTAATGAATACAAATTTCCAAAGTATAGCTTATGGATTACAATGGCTACCCCCCATAACTTCCCTCCCACCCGCAACCTTCACCTTTCCTGCTCCCTGTCCCCTTCCATTCACATCAAGATTCATTTTCAATTCTCTTTATATACAGAAGATCAGTTTAGCATATATGAAGTAAAGATTTCAACAGTTTGCACCCATATAGAAACACAAGATGAAAAATACTGTTTGAGTACTAGTTACAGCATTAAATCACAATGTACAGCACATTAAGGACAGAGATCCTACATGAGGAGTAAGTGCACAGTGACTCCTGTTGTTGACTTAACAAATTGACACTCTTGTTTATGGCCTCAGTAATCACCCTAGGCTCTTGTCATGAGTCGGCAAGGCTATGGAAGCCTTTTGAGTTCACTGACTCTTATCTTATTTAGACAAGGTTGTAGTCAAAGTAGAAGTTCTCTCCTCCCTTCAGAGAAAGGTACCTCCTTCATTGATGACCCGTTCTGTTCACTGGGATCTCACTCATGGAGATCTTTCATTTAGGTCCCTTTTTTTTGCCAGAGTGTTTTGGCTTTCCAAGCCTGTAATACTCTCATGGGCTTTTCAGCCAGATCTGCGTGCCTTAAGGGCTGATTCTGAGGCCAGAGTGCTGTTAGGACATCTGCCATTCTATGGGTCTGCTGTGTATCTCACTTCCCATGTTGGATCATTCTTTCCTTTTTTATTTGATCAGCTAGTATTTGCAGACACCAGTGTTCTTTGTGTGCTCCCTTTGGCTCTTAGTCCTATCATTCTGATCAATTGTGAACAGAAATTGATCAGCGGGACTAGTGAGATGTCATTGGTACATGCCACCTTGATGGGATTGAATTGGAATTCCCTGGTATGTTTCTAACTCTACCGTTTGAGGTAAGTCAGCTTGAGCATGTCCCAAATTGCACATCTCTTCCCTCTCTTATTCCCACTCATATTTAACAGCGATCACTTTTCAGTTAAGTTTCAACACTTAAGAATAACTGTGTATTGATTACATTATTCAACAAAAAGTATTAAGTAGAACAAACAAAAAATACTAAGAGGGATAACATATTAAGTTGTTCATCAACAGTCAGGGCAAGGGCTGATCAAGTCATCATTTTTCATTGTGTTCATTTCACTTTAACAGGTTTCCTTTTTGGTGCTCAGTTAGTTGTCTCGGATCAGGGAGAACCTATGGTATTTGTCCCTTTGTGACTGGCTTATTTCACTCAGCATAATGCTTTCCAGATTCCTAACAGGGATCACTTTTCACTTAAAATTTAAACACCTAAGAATAATTGTGCATTAATTACAGAGTTCAACCAATAGTACTAGAACAAAAAAAATACTAAAATGGATAAAGTATTACATTCTTCATCCCATAACCACCCACCCTCCCACAAACCATCCCATCTCCTACTCCCTCTCTCATCCTATTCATCATTAAGATTCATTTGTAATTATGTTTCTATACAGAAGATCAACTCTATACTAAGTAAAATTTCAACAGTTTGCACCCACACAGACACACAAACTATAAAGTAAAGTGGTTTTTTTTGTAAAGTAAATTTTGAAGATTCATTTTAGTGATAATTCTCAAAGTATAACACATTAAAGACAGAGGTCCTACAAGGGGTGCAAGTTCACAGTGACTCCTGTTGTGGATTTAGCAATTGACACACTTATTTATGACATCAGTAATCATCTGAGGCTCTTGTCATGAGCTTCCAAGGCTATGGAAGCCTCTTGAGTTCACAAACTCTCACCTAAACTATTTAGACAAGGTCATAATTAAGTGGAAGTTCTCTCCTTCCTTCAGAAAAAGGTACTTCCTTCTTTGTTGGCTGCTTCTTTCAATGGATCTCACTAACAGAGATCCTTCATTTAGGCCTTTTTTTTACCACAGTATCTTGGATTTCCATGCCTCTGTTGCAATCATGGAATTTTCAGCCAAATCCAAATGCCTTAAGGGCTGATTCTGAGGCCAAAGTGCTGTTAAGGGCATATGAGTCTGCTGTGTATCCTGTTCCCATGTTGGGATCGTTCTCTCCTTTTTAATTCTATCAGTTATTATTACCAGACACTGGACTTGTTTATGTGATTCCTTTGACACTTAATCATACCTTTATGATCAGTTATGAACTTCAACTGATCAATTTACCTAGTAAGATGGCATTGGTATCTGCCAACTTAATGGGATTTGGAGCCCCATGGCACCTTTTTAGATTTACCATTAGGGGTAAGTCCAAGGGTGCATATGGCAATATGTACATCTCCTATCTCTCTTATTCCACTCCTATTTTTAACAGGGATATCACTTCAGTTGGATTTATACCCCTAAGAAAATTTCTGTGTTAATTAAAGAGTTCAAAGAATGCATTGAATAGAAAAAAAAATACTAAGAGGAATAAAATAGTAAGCTGTTCCTTGAAAGTCAGAACAAGTGTAGATCAAGTCATTGCTTATCATAGTGTCAGTTTCACTTCTACAGGTTTCCATTTAGGTGATCAGTTAGTTGTCACAGATCAGGGAGAGCATATGATATTTGTCCCTTTGGGACTGGTTTATTTTACTCAGCATGATTTTTCCAGATTCCTCTGTTTTGTTGCAAATGACTGCATTTCATTTTTTTTTTACTATTGTGTACAATTCTATAGAATACATATCCATAGTTTCTTTATCCAGTCTTCCATCGATGGGCATTTAGGCCCATTCCATGTCTTAGCTATTGTGAATTGAGCTGCAATAAACATTGAGGTCCAGATAGCTCTTTTATTTGCCAATTTAATTTCACTTGGGTTAATGTTGAGGAGTATGATGGCTGGGTTCTGTGCTATCTCTATATTCTGGTTTCTGAGGAGTCTCCAAACTGTCTTCTATAGTGACTCTACCAATTTGAATTCACAGCAACAGTGGATTAGTGTGCCTTTTCCCACACATCCTCACCAGCATCTGTTGTTAGTTTATTTCTGTATGTAAGCCATTCTAACAGGGTGAGGTAAAGCCTCATTGTGATTCGGATTTGCATTTCCCTGATGGCTAATGATCTGAACATTTTTCATGCTGGCCGTGAGTTCTTCATAAATTGCTTTGATTGTGTTGAGGAATGTTCCTTCTATACACAATTTGTTTAGAATTTTCATCATAAAAGAGTGTTGTATTTTATCAAATGCTTTCTCTGCATCTATTGGGATAATAATATGGTTTTCCTCTGCAGTTTGTTAATGTGGATATCACATTGATTGATTTTTGAACATTGAACCATCCCTGCATACCAAGAATAAATCCCACTCGGTATGGGTGGATAATCTTTCTGATATGTTGTTGAATTCTACTGGCCAGAGTTTAATGAGGATTTTGTATCTATGCTCTTGAGGGAAATTGGTTTGTAATTCTCTTTCTCTGTTGAATCTTTTTCAGGTTTAGAAAATAATGTGTACTGGCTTCAAAGACAGAATCTGGGAGGATTCCCTCTTTTGATTGTTTTAAATAGCTTGAGAAGAATTGTAGATAGTTCTTCTTTAAATGTCTGGTAGAATTCAGCAGTGAGTCCATCCGGTCCTGGGCTGTTCTTTGTTGGGAGGGCTTTTATTACTGATTCCATTTCTGTGTTGGTTATGGGTCTGTTTAGGTTTCCTATGTCTTCATAGTTCAATTTAGGTAGGGTGTATGTGTCAAGGAATCTATCCATTTCTGTTAGATTTCCCAGTCTGTTGGCATACAACTCTTTGTAGTAATTTCTGATGACTTTTCTTTCTATTTCTGAGGTTTCTGTGTTAAACTCTTTTTCTTCTCTAATTTTATTGGTTTGGGTCTTCTCTCAACTTTTCATGGTTAGTTGGGCCAAGGGTGTGTCAATTTTGATTATTTTTTCAAAAAAAGCTTTTAATTTTTCTGATCTTTCGTTTATTATTTGGATTCAATTTTGTTGATT